GAGCCCCCCCCCCCACCACACCAGGAGGCCCGCCTTACCACTCCTCTCCCTGCTGTTCCCAGCCTCACTCCCCTGCGGGAAGCAGTTATTGAGAACGGTCCATCAGATTCAATAAAGATTCAAAGCCCCTGAGAGAATGGGGGTGGGTGGGCGGGGAGTGCGGGTGGGGAAAGGAGGAGTGGGAAGGGGGGGCCCACACACGCCTCCTCTGCCTGTCCCTCAGGCAGGGCTGGAGGGGGTAAGAAGGGGACAGTCCTCCACTGTCACTCTATGTTGCCTGCAGTGCCCCTTGGGCCTGGGCTTGGGGTCAGCCAGGGGCAGGGCCCAGCTGTCCGGGGCCTGTCTTTGTTCGCCTGACACCCACCTGTTCCTCTGCCTTCCAGCTGTCCCTCACCTGTCACCTGCTGGCCTGTGGGTTCCCACCCCAGTCCAGCCTGCTCTAGCCCCTCTTCCCCAACCAGGAGGCGCTTTGAGGCTCTCTCCCTCTCCACCATCCCCCAGTCTCGGTCAAGCTGTCCCCACAAGGCCACTGAACAGCATAATCTGAGGCCAAGGGGCAGGGGGCAGTACTGTCTCCCTGGAAATGCTACAGCTTGGGGGCACTGGCTACCCTGACCCAAACCCGGCAGAAGTCATACGTCCAGCCCTGCGTTTTGGACCTATTCTGTCCCAAGTCCCCCTCCCAGCCATGGCCCGCTGGGAGGTCACTTGATCTTCAGTCCCAGCCTGTGAGCCAAGCCCAGGAGGCAGGCCAGGGGGGTCTGGGCCCGCGCAGATCGGGGAGCTGGGGGTGGGGGGAGGGTTTGTCAGTGAAATGGTCAGTCAGGTCTCCTTGGACAATCCCACACCCCAGCCCCTGTCCCTAAACTTGACGGCCCTCACAGAGTACACCGCTGATCTGCCCTTTCAGCCCCGATTCCTGCGCCACACGCCACCCAACAGCCTCTGTCCCTAACTAGTGCCCAGTGGGTGGAGGGCTGGCCTGGACAATCGTGTGGATCCTCCTGCCTTGAGAGAGAAGACCCTATGCGCCAAGGCCCCCTGGCCCCTGCATAGGGTCCCCCACACTCCCTAGGAATGACCTGCCTGGAAGAGTTGCTGTAGGGGGCAGAGCCCACTAACAGGTGGGACAGACAGAGAAGACTTCAAGCACTGCTATCCCCAAGGACAAGTTCATAGAGGGCTGGGGGCAGGGCTGGCAGTCCTCAGGACCTGAACCCTCTCCCAGAGCCGCTGCACCAGCCCAGGCTTTGCCTCTCTGGCCTTGCTCACCCGCAAGGTCACCTCTCCCTCCCTCTCTCCCTGCTGCCGTCCTGCCTGCCCACTGCAACACTGACCCCTGTGGGCCCGCCGAGGTCCTGCCCTGCCAGGGGACAGGGACACAGGGAGGCCTGGCCAGGCCAGCTTTGGGATGGACAGAGGATGGAGGCTGAGGGCCGGGGAGAGGGCCGCATGTCTATTGGAGGGGACAGAGGGGAGATTTTCCTGGAGGCCAAACATTATCCGAAGGGTTTAAACTATCAGCTCAAAGTTTAACTGGATTGACATTTAGTTTTTCCTCCCGGGGCGGGGGGCTGGTCTTCGTTCTTCACTGGGCTGTGGCTTTTCCCCACAGTCCCTTGCTTCAGCCACAAAAGATCAGGAAGAGAATTGCCTGGAGGCTAGGGGCCCACAAGGGGAGGGAACTGCTCCTGTCCCCTGTCAGGATAAGGGTCTTAGCAGCAGGCTGAGCCCTGTGGGGACTTGCAGAGCGCATGGGCTGAAGGAGGGGGTACACAGGGACCTTCTGGAACCATCCTGGGACAAGAGGACAGGAGATTAAGATTTTTTTTTAAAGGACTGGGCCACAGGTGTTCCAGGCGGTGGGATGAGGGGATGAGGATGTAAATGGTACTGGTCTTTGGGGGACCAGACGGATGGGCCTGAATCACACGGGAATTAATTTGCATATCTTACTCCCACCTGGTGCCTGCCTTGGGGGACACATACCCTGCCTGGGGGAGCAGGGTCTGGGGAGCCTGGGGTTGAGCTGGGGTGGAGGGGTGGTGGTGGGAAGTCTGGCTTGGAGCTGTAGGGATTATAGGAGATGGGCAGGGATGCCAGGGGGCACAGAGGCCAGATTGAGGCCCCCAACCCCCCCCCGCCCCTCAGAGATCCCCAGGGGACTAGGATTAAAAGTAAATTCTGCCCTCTCCAGCCTATGTCTGACCCCATCCAGCCCACTGTCCACATAAGAGAGAAGTAAACGTAAGGCTGGTCTGTTTCCTGGTCAGAATTGCCCCTGCCACAGGACTAGTGGGTCCTGCAACCAGAGTGGGCAAGACAGGTCTCCAGCCCAGACAGCAAGGCCCATTCAAGGGGGAGAGGGAAAAGTCTGGGGGCCGCCAGCACACCAGGGGAGCACTGGGTTCCAGGGCCTTTGCCCAGAAGACGCCAAGCACATCAAGTTGGCCTCCATGGAGAGGGCAGAGGTGCTTGGAGGAGTGGTGATGTCATGGTGCCCAGGCGTGGGAGGAAAATGGAGGGAGGGAGAGGGGACGAGGGCAGGACCCCAGGTCACTGGCCTAACAACAGGAAAGGGGAGGCTGCCAGACTGGCAGGGCAGGGGGAGGGGAGTGTCCTCACTGCATCCCCCCTTCCATCTTCATACCCTGGAGCTGGTCTCTGAACTAAGCTGTTGGCTTCTGAGAGGGTGATCCAAGCAAGAGAACACCTCTGTCTTTGGTCCAAGTGCTGGAAGCTGGCAGTCTCTTGGGGAAAGATGCCAGGGTAGATGACCTGGGTCCAGAGAGATGAAGGGAGGGGTCTCCAAAGGCAATGTCCCTTCTGCCATTACCTAGAGGACATTCATAGATGGGCATGAGGTTCCAGAGAGGGAGACTGAGTCTCTTTCACCCATATACGCAAGCACTGAATGAGTGCAATGCCTGGCACCCAAGGTCCTCCTCAGTGGGCTCGGGCTGGCAAGACTTGAGGAGGGTAAGAATGGAGGCAGGGACAG